GTGTTAGGCAAGCAGCATAAAGTTACTTTTCCTTCCTCCCCTTATCCAAATCCCACTAAGTGTACCCCTGTGTTAAAGTATGTTCATGCTGATGTTTGGGGTCCTGCTAGTGTCTCTACCCACGGAAGTAAGAGATATTTTCTGTCCATTATCAATGATTTTTCTAGGAAGGTGTGGGTCCGTCTTCTTGAGCATAAGTCTGATGTGTTTGTGAAGTTTAGGGAGTGGAAAACCCTTGTAGAAAATCAAACCGGTGAGAAGGTCAAAACCCTTAGGACGGATAATGGCCTAGAGTTTTGCAATAAGGATATGAACCAACTCTGTATTGATTGTGGGATTAGAAGGCACAAAACTGTGCCCTATACTCCCCAACAAAATGGGATAGCCAAGAGAATGAATAGGACTGTTCTAGATAAGGTTAGGAGTATGTTTGCTACCTCCGGTTTGTCTAAAATGTTTTGGGGTGAAGAAGTCAATACTGCTGTCTACTTGATTAATCGATCTCCCTCTGTTCCCTTAGGTGGGAAGTGCCCTGAATCTGTTTTCTCAAACAAGACCCTTGATTTGTCTAATCTTAGAGTGTTTGGGTGTGCTGCGTATGTGCACCAACAAGGTGACAAATTGGATCTTAGGTCTAAGAAAGGAGTCTTCTTAGGTTGTCCTGAGGGTGTGAAGGGGTACAGGGTTTGGGATAGAAACCGGGTAGGTTTCAAAGTTGTGGTAAGTAGAAACGTTGTCTTCAATGACTCCGAGTTTCCTTGTCTGGTTAAGTCAGTTCCTGATTCTGAGTCGAGCCCTAGTGGTACACCTGTTGAGGTGGAGTCCATACCATATGCTGCTAGTCCTTTGTTTGCTAATCATGATTCTTCTGACTTACATGATTCTTCTGAATTGCATGATTTTTCTGAATTGCATGATTCTTATGAGCATGATAATACCACCACTTCGAGTGAGGTGGAGCATTCTCGTGTGCATTCAAATGACAATGAATCGTGTGATGAGAGTTCTGATTCTAGTGAAAATGATTTGCATGATTACCAACTTGTTAGAGATAGAAGTGGGAGAGAAATTAGGAGAACTGCAGATAGTATGCCTGATTTTGCTTTCCATGTGTGTGATACTTCTATGTTTGCTTTCTCTGTGTTTGAGACCCTTGAGCTTAACGAACCTAGAACCTATAGAGAGGCCCTTAAGTCTAATGAGTCCGCTAAATGGCTTTGCGCCATGGAAAGTGAGATGGAGACGCTTAGAGCGAATAAGACTTGGACGTTAGTTCCTAGACCGCCCAATAGTTCCGTTGTTGAGTGTAAGTGGCTATTTAAGGTTAAGGAAGAGCCTAACGACATTAGATATAAGGCTAGGTTAGTAGCTAAGGGATTTAATCAAAAGGAAGGTGTTGATTATGCTGAAATCTTTGTTCCTGTTGTTAAATTCACTACGATTAGAACGATGCTTGCTCTTGTTGCTCATAATGATCGGGAAATGAAGCAAATGGACGTCACCACTGCTTTCTTGCATGGTGATTTAGATAAGAAAGTCTATATGACCCAGCCTGAGGGCTTTGTGGATCCCATGAAGAGTGATCATGTGTGTTTGCTTAGGAAGGCCTTGTACGGTCTGAAGCAGTCCCCGAGGCAGTGGAATATCAAATTTGACTAGTGCATGTCATCTTTGAAATTTCACAAGTCCGAGTGCGACCATTGCCTATACTTTAAAAATACTTCTTCTGTGCCTGTATTTTATTTGCTTTATGTGGATGACATGTTGATTGTTAGTCCTTCGGGTGACGCCATTAAATGTGTGCAAAAACGTCTTAGAGAGAATTTTGCAATGAAAGACCTAGGTGGTGCCAAGAGGATCCTAGGCATTAACATTGTTAGAGATTGGAGTAAGCGTGTGTTAGTACTCAATCAGATTTCATACATTGAAAAGATTTTGAGTAAATATAACATGCATTCTGCTACTACCGTCTCTATTCCTATGGCATCCCATTTTGTGTTAAGTAAGGATCAGTCTCCCAAGACTGCTCCTGAAATTGCTAAAATAAAATATGTGCCTTATTCCAATGCTATTGGGTCCGTGATGTATCTCATGGTGAGTACTAGACCCGACATTGCCTATGTTGTTAGTTGTTTGAGTAGGTATATGTCTAATCCTGGTTTACCTCATTGGAATGCTCTTAAGTGGTTGCTTAGGTACTTGAAATCTACTGTTAATCATGGATTGGTTTTCACTAGGTGTTCTGAGGGTGTGAAATTGAGTGGGTATGTGGACTCGAATTTTGCTAACGATAGAGACAATAGGAAATCCACTACCTCTTATGTGTTTACCCTTTGCGGGTGTTGCATTAGTTGGAAGTCTCAACTTCAACCCATAGTTTCCCTATCCACTACTGAGTCCGAGTATGTGGCCGCTACCGAAGCATTTAAGGAAGCCATTTGGCTTAAGCGTCTCCTAACGGAGATTGGTAGTCTTAATCAGGACATTTGTGTGCTTTCTGATAGTCAATCTGCTATTCAACTGTGCAAAAACCCTGTTTTTCATGATAGAACTAAGCATATTGATGTTAGATTTCATTTTATACGTGATATTGTAAGTGCAGGTGATATCAAGTTGATTAAAATTCCATCTGAATTTAATCCTGCTGACATGGGGACTAAATGTCTCTCTGTCGAAAAGTTTTTGTCGTGCAAGCGCACGTTAAACATTGATTGCGGATAAGTTGCCTTGTGATCTTACCCCTTTTGCCTGAATGTGTCTTTGTGATCATTCGGGCAATCCAGCGATGATGAGTCTCATGTATGTATTAGAGTTTTGACTCTACACCACTAGGGTCCAATAAGGTTGAGATTGTGTTAGGTATTGGCCCGGTATTTCTGTAAGCCCAATTCAATTGAGGTGGTTCCCAGCCCATTTACACTTGGTTTTACCTGGCCCCCCTTTTTTGATCTGCTCTACCGATCGGCTTTCCTATTGCGTTACCTTCCTTTCCCTGTGCGCCATTGACTGCGTATCTTTTTCTAAGGCAAGTTACTATATTTTGCTTTTTCACTTCGCCTATATAATCTTCCCTCTGCCGATGGACATTGAGGTTGGCCGAACCCTGACCTCTCCCCTTTTTTCGCACCTATAGCCTCTCTGTGGATGCTCGGACGAATTGGCCGGAAAACCTTGTTGGTTGTTGCCCATAATCTCCCTTTGTTGATTCTAGTGGTGAAATTGGTATCCTTTGTGGATATAAAGCTGAGACGTGAGCTGGAAACGAGTTCTTACAATCCGGAATATAGAATTTAAAAAAAAACAAGTGCTCCCCGTGGTCGGATTTGCCAATTCCGACAGGAGGAGTGGTTTAGAAAATAAACCCTAGTCGGAATACCGGATTCCGACTCCCGTATTTTGGTAACCTAATTGTCATTCCCGTAATTTGGCGTGTCAAACACAAAATTCCCGCTTTTTGGGAATTTCCTCTAAATATTCATATATACACACTTATTACATTAACTTTATCTGACTTGTTTTAATACGAGTATAACAATTTAGATATTAACTTATTTATATTTTATTGGTAATAATTAGAAAAAATAGAAATGTCAAAGATAATTAGTATTGGTGACGGTGTAGACCTTGGACAAGCCTAATAATAATAGGCGAAATTGACACTAATAATCCATACTTTTACACATTTTACAAAAATAATCTTGTTGGGTTAATGGCCCAATAAGGGCCGACCCATCAACCCTTAAGGATCACCTACGAGCGTCCTGCTAAAGGCCCAAGGAGAGGGTCAGACCCAAGGACCAGGGGATGTACGTAGCCCATCGTCAGCCAGTGTCAAGGCCCAAGGGCCAGGGGACGTAGGTAGTCCATCATCAGCCAGTGCCAGGGCCCAAGGGCCAGGGGACGCACATTGTTCATCATTAGGAGGCATCCAGACCCAGGATCCCTACGAGGTATTCGAGGACGGACGTCCCCACCTCTTAATAAGGGACCAAGGGCGACCCAAGGATATGTCAGGGATAGTTGCCCTAACCGAGGATGAACGTCCTCTCTTCCATTGGAAAAGAATCAAGATCCCGACAGGAGACAACGGCCAAGCCCTTGGGGACGAACGTCCCTACCCAATGGCGGGAAACCAAGATTCTGGCGGGAAGTGCATTTAATGTAGAAGATTTGGTGGTTGGGATCATGGCGCACACAGCCTGCCACGTCGACATAGCCAACTACCCATTGACGGTATAAATAGTAGCATTTATTTCACTGTAAAGGGTTCACATTTTGACATTCTAGCATTATAGCAGTAATAGCAGTTCATAGCCTAGCACAGTACGTTCGCCCCTTCGGCTTGTAATAGTTCGAGTGAGTGAATACACTTGGTTGGCCCATTTCCTGCTTGTTCTTCACCTTACTTGTCCATCACCCAATTAAAACCCCCAGGTTACGTGTTGGGCCTGTGGGTTGAGGGATTAAACCTCAACAAATCCCCACTCATAAATTTCACAAAAATAATCCCTACTAGTTATTTGTTTCACAAAAATAATCCGATTTTGACAGTGTTAACTTTTCCGTTATTTTTTTTATGTTTTGAATATATCAAACCAAAAATATGTATAAAACTTAGTAATATTGTATTGGAGTTTAATTTTTTTCCTACGATAAACTAATATATTTGAGTTTAATTCAATGTTCTACATAATTGTATTAATATTTAATGTATTATTACTAAAACGACTTCAGAATCTCTATTATAATGAATAACAAAAATGAATCTTAATAAAATATGGATAGGGAATGAAAGAGAATAGAGAATTTGAAGAGTATTATGTTTTATGAAAAACATTTTTATTATGTTTTATGGAAATATTGAATATTAAATTATTATTTTAGTAGAAACAAGATTAAACTCAAATATAGTAGTGTCAATGTTTAGATATATTTTCGATTCAATATATTTAAAATAAAAAAATAACGGAAAACTTAACACCGTATGCACTCATTTATTTTTGTGAAACATTTAAATAGTAGGGATTATTGATGTGAACTATTCAAGTAGTGATTATTTTTGTAAAATGTGTAAAAAGTGGAGATTATTGATGTCAATTTGGCCATAATAATAATAATCTAAATAAATGGTACGGAGTAAAATGCAAAGCATTCTGAGTCATCGGTATTAGAAGGAGAAAACATTGGTGGAGCCAAACACGCCGCTAAGGCTCGTTCCAAGGTTTTTACAATTTCAGTCATGCTCGGCCGATCTCTGCCCCAAAGCGTCACACAATCTGCTGCAAGGTAACCGACACAGGCCACTTGGTCCATCTCAAATGGCGTCGGACACGGAACCCTAACGTCCAAAACCCTACCGATATCAGCTCGAAGTATGTACGCAACCACACAGTCCACCACATTTATGGGCACTCTTTTTTCGTTCTTTTCAACTGCTCTCCGTCCCGAGAGCAGCTCAAGGAGTACTACCCCGAAATTGTACACGTCGTTCTTCGTTGTCACCACTTGCAACCGGTAATTCTCGAGATCCATGTACCCCGTTGTGCCCGCTGCAAGTAACGAGACGTGCGACACGTCGTCGTCACCGCAGCTTTTCGGTCCCACCACGGACAACCCGAAATTGGCAACCTTGGCGTTCCAATTGGCATCCAATAGAATGTTGGATGACTTTATGTCGCGGTGGATGACTTGTAGGATGGCGTACTCATGAAGGTACTTGATTCCCCGGGCCACGTCTAGCGCCACACGGATCCGAGCGTTCCACGACATGAGTCCGGAGGCCGTGGCGTTATTCGTGTCGTTGCTGTGGAGATGATGATGGAGTGTGCCATTCTCCATCACCTCCAAAATTAGCATTCTCTCATCATTTTCATAACAAGAATACCCTATAAGTCTTAACAGGTTCTTGTGATTGAGCCTATACATAAACGCTTGCTCGTTGTTCACTTAGCTTGGACCCTGTGGTGTTTGGCATGGACATATAGGGATGAGTAGGGCAGTGAAGAGGAGGACGCGGAAACCTCAGCTCTCTTGATTGCCACTTCGCATCCGTCATCTAACGTGGCACGATACACAGACCCAAAGCTTCCTCTCCCAATCTTATGTTTCTCAGAAAAGTTCTCCGTTATTTTTTGGAGGACTTGGAAAGAAAATTCTTCCAAATAAGTGAGTGTATTCTTGTCCAGGACCGATGGGGATGGGGTTCGGGCTACTGCTACTTCTGCCCGAGCCAATTCCTCATCATAGACTCGGCCTACATGGGCAGAGTCATGTATTCTTGATGAAGCTGATGTGGCTCTAGTAGAGTTGCGGTTGCAATACCTCGTGAAAAAGAAACAGAAGATGACGAGAGCTAAGACACCAATTAATGAACCCGTGCATCCCACCACAAGAAGCCCCACATTCTTCCCATCCCAGCGGCGTGTGGAGGAGAAGGACGACGCCTTCGGTGGCGGTGATAGTGGTAAGCAAGGTGGCGGTGGAGGAATATCACTCATTAGATGATATGATACATGGCTTGCATATATATGGATCGATCAATTGTCAGGGTCTGGCACGTACGTATACTTTGGAATAAATGATTAGATTGTGTGATTGATCGATTACCGGTTTCTGAGACTACTGCATAGGCGGAAAGTGGGTGAACAACAAAACTAGTTGAGGAAGGAAACATGGAGTGGGGTTAGATGAGAAATTGATCAGAGGAAGAAAGGGAAAATATAATGTGTGCAGCGCAGCTATCATAGAATTGAAAGGGTCTCGATCATGTGTTGAACTGGTTCATACCATTGAAATGCAGCGTATGGTCAAACTCTAGACTTGGTTTTCCTCTTCTACCGAGGATCATTTTCCGTGTCACACGAGAATAGAACGGATCAAACCAGACCAATGCACAAAGACCGGACGTTTACCAGACAAGATTAGACCAGACCAAAAAAATTCAATACAAGTAAAAACATCCTAACATTTCCTTCATTTAAATTTTCTTTCCAATACCATTTAAATGCAGAAGACTTAACTTTTTTCAAAAGTATTATTGAAATAAAATGTATATACATAAATATGATTAATAATTGATGGATTATACTATTATAGGGATCCAAACATTTATAATTAGGGAGAGATTGAGCTATGAAGTAGAAGATGATGAATAGTGAGATTGTTTTTTTGTACAAAGGGCAGGGACGTAGTCAACCCGAGCTGATGACTCGCGCTTACTAGGAATTCCTCGTTGAAGACCAACAATTGCAATGATCTATCCCCATCACGCTGAAATTTCAAAGATTACCCGGGCCTATCGGCCAAGGCTATATGCTCGTTGAATACATCAGTGTAGCACGCGTGCGGCCCAGCACATCTAAGGGCATCACAGACCTGTTACTGCCTCAAACTTCCGCGGCCTAAAAGCCCATAGTCCCTCTAAGAAGCTGGCCACGAAGGGATACCTCCGCATAGCTAGTTAGTAGGCTGAGGTCTCGTTTGTTAACGGAATTAACCAGACAAATCGCTCCACCAACTAAGAACGGCCATGCACCACCACCCATAGAATCTCGAAAGAGCTCTCAGTCGGTCAATCCTTGTTATGTCTCGAATAGTGAGATTGTTTAATTTGTGTAACTATGTTCTAGGGTTTACAAGCTCTAAAAGGAGTATATATAGAGAAATCCGGGTCTGGGCTTCTAATATGGGCCTGACAGACCTGGTTACATAAAAGGCTAATCTAGAACACCCGAATAATGATAATGTACAATAATGTAAATGCTATCTATTGAGCGTACGTGGGCCGCTGTCCGGTCCCAATAGTAATGAGACCGGGGGTCCGAGTCCATATACTCTATCAGGAGTCCCCCACTCTTTGAGGTGAGAGTATTCGAGGCGAAAGGGAGTAGAGCTGTGTGATGATCTGTCGTCGTATGGTGAGTAAACTTCGTAAACAAAATTGAACTTGTGCTTCTTCAATTAACGGATGTGCTAAGTCCTCCGCTCTTCCAGTCCCCCACTCCTTGAGGCACGTGTAATGAAGTGAAAAGGAGTACATTAATGCATGTCTTCAAAAGGGGGGCGAGGGGCGACGCCTTTTGTTCATGTTGGGGAGATGCCTCGTTAAAAACATCACTAGGAAAAAACCTTGTGGGAAAAAATCCTAATGAGGGAAAAAGAGTACACCGGATGCCCCGAAAATGAAGCAAAAGGGGTGAACCCTTCGGCCTGGGCGTGGAACTGCAACTGTCGGCATGTGCTAAGGGGATGGCCAAGATCGGTTCTCGTATGTGCGTAGCTCGGCATGATAGGTAATCCTAGTCATCAAATAAATATGACTAAGAGATAGGTCGAGCGACCGTCCATAATGATGTTCGGGTCATCAAATAAAGATGACCAAGAGTATTGCCAAGAGGCCGATATAAAATCCAAGTCATCATTTAATTGCACCTATGCATTCAAATAAAAAATATTATAATTTTTGAGCTTATAATTCGCTATTGGATTTGGACCTACATTAAGTGGCCTCAAATTTCCAAGCTAGGGCTCAAGCTAGATTTCTATGCTTAGTTGAGCGTGGCACGCGTAAAGGACTAAACCTACACCTGTTGGGGGATCGCAGTTCGAATCTGATAGTTAAGGGCACACATAACTCATACATAACATAGAAACTACAATGTGTATTAGATAGCATTTGGATTTGGAGCTTATTATCGCCACACCCGTTTGACGTGATCCGGTGGTGCGAGTGTGTGTGCTCGCCCGGTGTACGCGAGTGCTCGATATTCATATGTCCGTTTTTTCAATGTCAAAAGATACATACTATTCGAGAAAATATTGATAATAAATTAATAATCTAACTCAACTCGTCACTCAAGTTCGTAGTTGGGATCCGCCAGACATGCACATTTAAGTGTTTTTTAACAAATGACTCGCCCCTCAAGATTGAAGTTTGATGCTATATTATTAAAATATTTTATTTTATGTGTTTTTTTTTTTGCATTTTAATCACATTTATTTACATATCAAATGTATGGAGGTAGTTTTGGAGTACTGTACTTAGCTTTTTGAAAGAAGTGGACTATCTGAATTGATAGCTTGGGCCAGGAGTTGAACATTTTTGCTGATGGGCGGCCCGGTTGAGTTATAGCTAGAGTCATGGGCTCCCCGGCCCAGTGTATCTGTTGATGTGACCTAGACAATCTCCTTACACCTAGAGTAGCGTACGTTTCCGTGAATCAAGGTCGTAGGGAGAAGAAGATTGCCTTTCCGGGAGAAGAAGATTAGTAGGTTTACATGTCGTGGTGGGCCTTAGCTTGGCACGCTCGGCCATGTGTCTCCATCCCGTAGCCCGGGCATCTGCCTGAGATCCGAAACTTAGACCCAGACCATTACCGTCATCACCTGAACTCGATTTGGCCGTAATCTTTAGGGAGCTTTGCTCCTGGAATTCCATATCCGGACCGTGAGCTAGGCAAAATTGGTTGTTTATTGCACATGTCGGGGTCGTGAGCAGAGCCCTCAAACCGCCATTAATGGCAGAAACCTTACAAGAGGCTCAGGTCAAGCGACGCCCGACGAATCTGAGACGAAGGCGAAGAGGCAGCCAGCTGGAGAGGTGGTAGAGGTAGCTGCCATAGGCAGGGCCGGTCCTGACGATTTTTGGGCCTATGGGTGCTACGATATTTTGGGCTTATATCCATGACAAACAGTAAACCATATTTGGGCAATGAATTTCATAGAATAAAGACGAGAATCACTTTATTATTATATACGTTACATATTTGGGCAAAAGTAACAACACGAGTATCGAATAAAAAAAAATTACTTAAAAACATTTCTCGTAGACAAATGTGAAGCAAATCATTAATAATTACTTCATGCAATCTTCTTTCCACTAATAAATATAACAAACAATAAAATTGCCGAATATAGCAACACTAAACTTTCTTTTGAAAAGATAAATGAAAAGAAATATTATCACATGTTGAATTCATAAGTTGAGAATGATTTATTGACCGCTTATGAGAGTCTAAAGTTTGAAGTCTCGAAAGAATGAAGATTTTCAAGGAGACAAAATGTTTGGCTGCCAAGATGACTCACACAAGAAGATTGCAAATTTGACGTCCTTTAAAACTACTATTAGGAACTCAGATATAACTTGTTGAAATTTGGAAACAAATGAATAATTGGGGTGAAATTTGAGAGAAACGGGCTCTAAAATAATTATATAAATTTGTTATGTTATAATTAAATTGAATAAAAAAATCTTAAAAGCTAAAAAGATGTGAGGAATGGAGAGACGTGTCTTTTATTTATACAGGAACAATCATATTGCTTTTAAAAACTACAACCGATCCTGCTAAAAATTAATGTATATATTCTGTTTTAAACTTGTCTCTGTTAAAGACTATTCATTTATGTTTTAAATTTTCAAACTGTCAATAAAATTAATCATTACGCCTAATTAATTGAACTTAAGAATAAAAAAAAAGAAGCTTATGTTAAGAACTCAAGAACTATATACGGAGTATAAAGTAAAAAAATTGGGTCTATTTTTTCTTCTATTTTGTGGTGACGCTGTGATGGCAAGAGCGAGTTGCGAGCAGCTGTTTGGTGAAGTGGGCGGTGCTGGCGGTGGTGGCCGTCTGCCATCAGCCACTGGATCGATCCGCAGCCCCCTGCGTGTCTCGACAAATTCTTCCATATTTTTCCTTTTTTTCACTTTTCAAAAGAGTTTCTTGACTATTTTTCAAGTGATTGTGATGAATATTTGAATGTTTTTGGGAGGATCTGTCACTTGATTTTGCTCTAATCTCTCAATGAAAGCACCATTGATGGATTATAGGGATCCAAACATACTACCTCCGTTTTTAAATAAATGCAACACTTTGACTTTTACTCTATTCACATGTTCTACTTTGACTACGTTTTATTTATTAATGTAATAATATTATTTTATGAAAAAAATATTGTTAAACTTATCTCATTGTAAATTTTCATAATCTATTTTTTCATTTTTTTACTAATACAAAATTATTTATATTAATGGTCAAAGTTGTGTCTCGGCAAGTGTGAAATGTTGACCGTTGCATTTATTTAAGGAGATTGAGCTATGAAGTAGAAGATGATGAATAGTGAGATTGTTTGTGTAACTATGTTCTAGAGTTTACAAGCTCCAAAAGGAGTATATATAGAGAAATTCGGGTCTGGGCTTCTAATATGGGTCTGACAGATCCGGTTACATAAAAAGCTAATCTAGAACACCCGAATAATGATAATGTACAATAATATAAATGATATTTTTTGAGCATATGTGGATCGCTATCCCAGCCCAATAGTAATGTGACCGGTATCCTAGTCCATATACTCTATCAATAATTATTCGGTATAATAACTGTATAGTGTCAGATTACTTAAGTGTACTCAAATAAATTGCTATAATATTACTACTATAGTCGCTACATGTAAGATAATCATATTTTTGTAAATCGTTTTTATTTTAATCATTAATATATAATTATTTTTTGTACTATATAAATCTTATATTGTCATATAGTCATATACTCCGTAATAATAAAGCAATAGCATCATACTCCTTTATGACGTGTACGATATTTCAAACTAGCTAGATCCAATCATCATACAATTAAAGGATGCATATTATACTTCGTACATGCAAATTATATACTCGCCTACTCCCACCACGTATGTACATTTAATGGTAGTTATTTTATAATCTTTTTTGTTCGTTTACTATTAAAAAATGACAAATTACCATGTAGTCTATACTTTTAAAAGACAAAAATATACTCGTATCTAATTTTCATAATTTCAAAATTTTGATTAACTTATATTCTAAAATTACTATGTAGATTTTAGAATACTATACATGTGTGTGGGGTGTGTGACCAATCAAATACAAACACCTCCTAATTTACAAACTAGAACTCATCTTGTCCACCTGATGAGTTGATCTAGATATCGACCAGGCACACAATAATTATAACATAGAGAATTTTACACATTTTTTAAATCACAGAAGGCTGATGCGTTAAATTTATACGATAATACATTACAAAAGGGTTTGATACATTAAAACTTTTATTATATAAAAATATATGTTTTCTTTTTTAATTTAATATATAAAATATGTTTAAAATATGTATAAAGTTTACTAAATATAGAAATTGCTCAATAATATAGGACCATCACATACACAAAATTCAAATAAGAGCAAATATGTTTTCATTTCCCAAATAAGATTTAATTAGTCTTATTAAAAGAATAACTTAAATAAAATTTTCTAAAATATGAGTGAATGAGTCATATGTCGATAATAAAACATACTCCCTCCGTCCCTTTTTAAATGTCCCGGAAGAGGGTGGCACGAGTTTTAAAAAAAGTAGGTTTGTGTGGTTGATATTAATAGATAAAGTAAGAATAAAGTAAGAATGATTTTGAGCCACACGAACTTTACCAAATAAGGTATGAGACAATTAAATAGGGACATCCCAATATGGTAAAATGGGACATTTAAAAGAGGACGGATGGAGTACGTATTAATAGAAGAATTGTTATTACGGTGTAATTAAAAACAGAGTTAAAACAGAGTAAGACTTAAAAAACACAATTTCTGCCAAAATGCAGTAGCAGGTGATTAAAGACGGAAAGAGAAAGAGCACGATACTACAGTCCGTAGTTGATATCCTTGAGAGCATTTATCACTAAGAAATTATTAGTTTGACAACTACCTATAAGGAGTTATGGTTATATGTCACCAAAACAAATATCATCATTCTCTAATGGAAAGAAATAATGGCAATTCCGGAGTTTCTTCTTCTCAAGCCTTGAAAGATGAAAGCAGTGGGTTTTGGTTGGTACAGAAGTTACCGGGTGGGAGATGGGGGTATCTTTCCCCCACTACAGAGAGCTATTTTGGCTGCTTTCGATTTATCACATCTCCCCATTAAAAAAGTTCCCTTGTCCAGTTTTGCCTCCCTGTCACTTCAACTTCAAAGTGCCGATCTCAGTATCTCCCCTCCCTCCTTCTCTCCACCTTCCATTATCCGCTCCTAGTCTCTCTCATCATCATCACAAACTAGATTAGCAATCTTTTCTTTTGTCTTTTTTTTTTTGCCAATTCCCTGTACACCAATATAAGAATCTTCCACCCCAATACCAATCCTCTGTGAAATCACACTCTTCTTGCTTCTCCATTTTGGGTCAATCTGCTTTTTGAGTTCCCTGCATTGAATAAAAAGCAACAAGCTTTATTTGTTTTCTGAAGAGGGTTGTTGTAGAGGTGAAGAATTTCGCATCACCTCAAATATTCATGGAGTATTCATTTATTTGTTTTTGGTTCATTCTTTCCTCAACCCTTTTTTCATTTCCCCTTTTCAGGTCTCCTGCGCTACTGCCAAACTGAAAGGCTGCCTTGGTATAATTTTGGTGTAGCCATGTATGTGAGCGAGCTGCTTCAAATGGAGATCAGATTATGTGGTGACTTAACACACAACTAAACCCCAATTTGACTTGTCAAGCTTTTGTGAGTTCCATGTTTGTAAATTGTGAGTATATTCTCTTTTGATTCCACTAGACTATTATCCGCTGTGTTGTCCGTTAATGAAACATGTTAGCATATGTGACAGCTAGTTGATTGTTATGAACAGACTTTTTCCTATAAAGATTTACTGCCTCTGTCCCATAAAGTGTAAATATATGGCTTTAGTTGTGTAAGAAAAAGGTGAAATGAATGTAAATCACACAAGTGTTAAGTGGGAATAATTTTTTGGGACGACCCAAAAAGTAAAGTGGGAAGAATTTTATGGGACGGAGGGAGTAAGTGATTAGAATGAACTGGTCATTCACTCATTCTCCTTTTATAATTCTCCTTTTTCCTATAAATACTTCTTACACCTGTTTTTCCTACAGCTACTTGCTCCACTAGGTTTTTACGTGGACATTGTGAGTATAGTTGTAGTTATAGAGAACAGTGTAGAAAAAAGAAAAAGTGTGATCGAGTACCAGGAGGCAGAAAAAGTAAAAGATAAAGGATACTTCGTGTGAGGAAGTAATGACATTTATGTTTTTTTATACACTCATAGTGTTTATGTCAAGTTAAAAAGTGAGACAAAAATAGTGAACTTTAGTAAAAATGTATTGAATGGAGTAGATCCGGTAGATCCAGCAAGTCTGGACTGCTTTGATATGGTGTGGATTGGTCTAATCCCGTACTAGAAACATACCCCCGGAGTATTATGATAACAAACTCTTGGTAGTATTGTATATTTTGTTTATTTCTCATAAAAGGATGCTTTTCTGTTTGTGTGTAATGATTGATACCCTTTTTGTTTCAGCTATTGCATCTACTTAGTATGGGCATCCTCATCACCATGGCAATAATGGAGACTTAATTATAGAGTCTGTCTTTCCCTAGTGAGGATTATTTATGTGTTGCTCACCCGGTTATTCCGCCATGGACAGAAACCAAAAGCACCTCTTCCTCCAAATTCTTTCAAAACTTTTACTCCTGTTCTTGTTTTTCAACCCATCCACACCTCTGAGTGTGGAAACTGAGGCTCTTTTGGAATTCAAAAAGCATCTCAGTGACCCCTTGAATATCCTTGATTCTTGGAATGAATGGGAAAGCCCCTGCCATTTTCATGGTATTACATGTGATCCAAAAAATGGTTTAGTTACAGAAATCTCACTTGATAACCAGAGTCTCTCCGGAGTGATATCACCGTCGATTTCTTCCCTCCAAAACCTCACATCTCTTGTGCTTGCATCAAATGCCTTATCTGGGATTCTCCCATCTGAACTTATCAACTGTACCAATCTCAGAGTCTTGAATGTTACTGGAAATAATATGAATGGGACCATCCCTGATTTGTCAAAGCTGACTAATTTGGAGGTTCTTGATCTGTCCATCAACTATTTTTCTGGAGAATTACCAGCTTGGGTTGCAAATCTTACTGGTTTAGTCTCATTAGGCCTCGGCTATAACAATTTTGATGAAGGGGAAATTCCAAAGAGCATTGGGAATTTGAAGAAGTTGAAATGGCTTTACCTGGCCGGATCAAATCTGAGAGGAGAAATCCCAGAGACCATTTTCGGCTTGGAGGAATTGCAGACACTGGATATCTGCAGGAATCACATCTCTGGGAATTTCCCTAATATGATAGGCAATTTGCAAAATCTCTACAAAATCGAGCTCTACGCCAATAATCTGACGGGTGAGCTTCCATCTGAGCTTGCCGCACTCAATCTATTGCAGGAGTTTGATGTTTCAGATAACCAGATGTACGGTGCACTGCCTTGGGCTCTTGGAAACCTTAAAAACTTGACAGTTTTTCAGGTGGCAAGAAACAATTTCTCAGGAGAAATCCCTCGAGGCTTTGGAGATTTGCAGCATCTAATTAGCTTTTCCTTATTCGAGAACAGTTTCTCAGGCAATTTTCCGGAAAATCTTGGCAGGTTTTCACCACTGGTTAGCTTAGACATTTCTGAAAACCAATTTTCTGGAGGACTCCCCAAGTACTTGTGTCATAATGGGAAATTGCGTTATTTGCTTGCAGTGGAAAATCATTTCACAGGAGAGTTTCCAGACGCTTATGCCGCCTGTATGCCTTTAGAGAGGTTGAGGGTCAGACAGAATCAGCTCTCTGGAAAAATCCCTGAAGGGGTCTGGGCCCTTCCAAATGTAAAAATGATTGATTTCAGTAATAATGGTTTCAGTGGATTCGTTTCTCCTTGGATAGGATCTGCAAAAAACCTGAAGCAGTTAATTCTGTCAAACAACAAATTCTCAGGTTGGCTCCCAAACGACCTAGGAAATCTCATGCTCTTGGAGAGGCTTTACTTGGACAACAATGAATTCTCTGGCCATTTACCAGCCCAACTTGGTATGTTAAAACAAATCACATCCTTGCATTTGGAGAAGAACTCATTCACAGGACCAATACCTGTGGAGTTAGGTCACTGTCCTAGGCTGACAGATATGAATCTTGCTTCTAATCATCTAAGTGGCGCCATTCCAGACTCTCTAACGACGATGACCTCTTTGCTGAACTCCTTGAATCTATCCAACAACAAGCTGACAGGCCCAATTCCCAGAAGCTTGGATAATCTGAAGCTTTCTTCGATAGATTTGTCCGACAACCAGCTATACGGGAAAGTTTCTTATGAACTTTTGATGATGGGAGGAGACAAGGCATTCTTTGGCAACAAGGGACTTTGTCTTGATCAAAGTATAAAATATGACACAAACAAGGAACTAATAAGTGTTTGTGGTGGGTATGCTACTCGCCGCAACAATTTCATTAACAGCAAGTTTAGTGTTCTCTGCATTGCATTCTTATGTGCAACTGCCCTTTTGGTCGGCTTATTGGTCTTGAGCTATTGGAAGAGCAAGCACACCGAGAAAAATGTTGAAAAAGAAGAATACTCAGAGGATGCCAAGGGATTGGACCCAAAATGGAGGCTTGAGAGCTTCTTCCATCACATTGAGTTCGATGCCGATGAAATATGTGATCTAGATGAGGAGAATCTGATCGGAAGCGGAGGCACGGGGAAAGTCTATCGTCTTGATTTGAAGAAAGGTTGTGGCACTGTGGCAGTGAAGCAACTGTGGAAGGGGGATGCAGTGAAAGTTCTGGCTAAAGAAATGGAAATATTGCGGACAATCAGGCATAGGAATATAGTGAAACTCTATGCCTGCCTGACAAACGGAGGTTCAAATTACTTGGTTTTTGAATACATGGCAAACGGAAATCTTTTCCAAGCACTTCACCGCAGAACCAAATTTGGAAAGACAGAATTGGATTGGGATCAGAGATATAAAATTGCACTAGGGGCTGCTAAAGGAATAGCTTATCTACACCATGACTGCTCTCCTCCTGTCATTCACAGAGATATCAAGTCTACCAACATTCTTCTTGATGAGGCTTATGAAGCCAAAGTTTCAGATTTCGGAGTTGCGAGAACTTCAGAACTTTCTCAAAGAGGATCTGACCTCAGCAGTTTTGCTGGAACTCATGGTTACATGGCTCCAGGTAAAGTGATTAATTTTTATGGTGTCTTTTTTCTTCACAAAGAACCATCATTATTTTTTCTTAAAAGTATGACTCATTGACTAATACTAAAAGAATTAAAGTAATTTCTTTGATTCATTCTTTAAAAGTATGAACCGTCATTGTTCTTTACTCCATACTTTGATCCATTCCTTAAACACAAAACACAGGCACTCCCATTTGTGCACATTCCACACGTTATTCTGATTTACAGTAATTTCTTTATACATATGCAGAGATGGCTTATACACTAAAGGTGACAGAGAAAAGTGATGTGTATAGTTTCGGTGTGGTGCTTTTAGAGCTGGTAACAGGAAGAAGCCCAATAGACGATGCTTATGGAGAAGGAAAAGACATAGTGTACTGGGTCTCCACTCATCTTGATAACCGCGAAAATATTCTGAAAATTCTTGACCCAAACATAGTTTCAGATGTAGTCCAGGATGGCATGGTTAATGTCCTGAGGATATCAACACTCTGCACTACAAAGCTTCCAAACCTTCGGCCGACAATGAAAAATGTTGTCAGAATGCTTGCTGATGCTGAGCCCTCGGCACTTAAGTCCACCTTGAATCATGAGAAAACTGGGAATGTCATCCAGTAGATCTCTACAATTCATTTGTCTGTTCTGAATATATAATACATAGACAGGACACCCATTATGTCTCAATCCCAGGTTGGGTCTGTATTAGTACGGTGTAATATAGCTGTATGCATGTGTGCAATTGCGGAAAAAGAAATGATCTATTTCAATACACTATGAAATTCTTAGTGACCCCACCCCCCCACCCACCCACACACCTTTTGTTTTTCTTTTCCTTGGTAAGACAACCAATCTCAGCAAGAAAAGTTTGCAAATGTTATTCAAATGTAGCAGTAAATAATAACAAAAGACAACAGTTTTTACACTTTTTAATAAAGGGAATGTAATGATGTAAAGCAAATGTAGAGCTGAGACGGAAATGCATAATAAAAAATTACAATTAATGTTGTTCCAAAGACCATTATGCCTTCTTAATCATCCAATTCATCAGCTTGAGAAAGAGCTGAATGTGTAGAGGCACATTTGCTTTATAGTTGATGATAAGAGAGATCTGATCTCTGTATGCACTGCTTAGCCAAGATTCTTGCAATTATCCTTCTCCTCTGTGAGCAGAAAAAAATAGTTGTAGTCACTAGTAAGTGTGCAACAAAAATTTACAATTCAACACCAAGTAGAACGGCAAAATTAATTTAGCTAATATAACCAAACACTAATTAAAAAACAAGATACTTCAGTCAGATAAAATATGGTCCAAGTAGATAAACAACCAAAACTTAACACCATCTTAATAGTAATTTCACGCACAACATGGTATCAAATAGGGTTATCGCAATCTTCTGGTTTTACATTTGGGTCAAAAGGTCTAGTATATCCCTCCATCATCAAAGAAATCAAGAGAATCCAAAGCAACTTCTTTACTGATAAACTGTAATAGTCTTAATACTCAAGATAGTTTTTCAAGTATGAAATGGGCTTTTCTAAATTTGGATATCAAACAGACCCAACTTAATTAAAATCTTATACGTCAGATTGCTTAAGCAGTTAAGCCCCTCAACTAAGCCTCATTGTTATAGCAATGAAGCTACACCTTTGTAAAACCACACAGGAGAGGCTCGAGGCTTTGTCTCGTCGTGCAGTTATTAGCACTTAAGTAAACATCTAAAGTTCTTAGTTTTTCGTCCGTAAGTTAAGCCTTAAAAAATCTAACTAAAATCATCTTAAATATTACTCCGTATAATAAAAGATGTCTTATTGAACTAAAGTAAGTGAAAAGAAGGCCAAATTTTCCCAGTAAAACGGTTCATCCTTCCAAATATTAAAAACTCTAATGCTCTATGCCTCATGCACTCTCTGTGACATGGGAAGTAGAAGATTTGAGGCAATTTTCTATCACCCCGCAGTGCGGCGAGCAATAGCCTTGGTAGCAATAAAATTACTGTGATGAATTTTAAAACAGTTGACAAGCAATGGATTGGCATTTGGCAGAGATAATACCTTTCGACTTATATGTTAGTTTGCCTTTTCCCTTTCCATCTTCTCTGTTCCTAGATGTTTCACGATAGTGTGTACACTCATCAGCAACATCTTCAGAGTTGCGCCTAATCCAAATGTCCTGGGCAGTATCAATATCAGAACGTCCTGTATCTTTGTCCAGAAAAACGAGGCTCTCTCTGTATGTGCTTGCATAGAAAGCATGCAAGTATGACCCACATATATCAAGATACTCGATCAACTGTTCCTCGTGATGAAAAAGAACTAAGCATTTGTCGCGATCAACAAATAAAGCTTCACCAGTTTTCCTGAAACCAACAAGCAACTGGAATCCCAGACGAAGATGATTGATGGAGAATATCTGAGTCCACGACTGAACATTCCCATACTCTTTCATAACCCATACACAACAATATGGGTTGGTCCCGTACGTACTCTGCACAAAAAAGGCAAGCGACTCCTTGTAAGTTCCAACTCTCAAATCTGTAAAATATCTCAAACTTGCAGTTGCCACGCTATCAGGTACCAAGATCTCGCCAAACACCTCCTTACTCATATCAAAAGACAAAACAGAATTCCTGAAGTCTTCATCCATTGCTGCCCAATGAACAATCCCACCAACCAAAGCAGCAGGTATTGAGTCCCCTAAAGGATAGCAAACCCCAGTTGCCTTGTGACTAATATCTCTCCACCTTCCTTTACTCAACTCATAGAGCTCAACCAGTGGCGGTAGCTCATTAAAGGAGATGTTCACAATCCTAACAACCTTGTAATCATTGGTTAATGGATCATACCCAAACCCGTGGGTATGGCTAAAAGCCCCATGCGAAGTAAATGTAACCCTAGGTTCAGGAAGGGTAACCGATTTTCTAATTGAAGGGTTCCATAGAATGGCAGTAAGATCATCTTCACCCATGTCATCTGTCAAACAAATCAGCCCATTGCAAGAACCCACAATCCGATAAAAACTGTTCACACTAGTAAAAGGGAAGTCCAACTTTCTGCACCTTTCAAATGTATGATTATCATCCCGGAACAACTCATAACTCTGGTGCTTCTCGGTCACCCCCTCTCCTACGCAGTATCTAAGTAAAAGGTGGGTATTTTCGGGACCTAAATGGAGGTTTTCGGAAATGAAAAGGGGGCTGGAGATCAGGGCGTACCATGATTTGCAGACGGCGATGCACCGCAGAAGGGTGCCGACGGGGAGCCTGGAGAGTATGCTGATCAAGACATCTCTGGGCAAATGGTCATGCATTTGTCTCCCGTTCACGATTATATGAGAACCCCCAACATCTGGAGCCGGAAATTGCAGTTCACGTCATCAGACTTTCCGGTCATCTCATACAGAGGAAATTTTGTTATGGTTCTTCATCCAAGACGACAAGACGCATTTATCTGCCTTTTGAATTAGCAAAAATGTACATTAATTAATCCCACACTCCCACGTGAAAGAAAAAACTAAAAAAGTAATTGCTCCCTATGTCACTTTTTTGAGTGTGTTTTTTTAGATGAGTGTTAATTAAATGTTTTTTAAACAAAAATAATAATAATTGTTTTTTATTGTACTGTAGTATTTAATAATCAAAACATATTACGGATGTTTTTAATTGAACTGAAATTTGTCGGTTTGATGTGTTTAAGTCTAATCTGGTTTGATCCGAACTGATTTAGTCTGGTAATGTATGTTTACTTTATATTTTATAACTATGGAAATCTGTTCAGATCTTGTCTGTTTACTTGGTCTTGTCTGATCTGATTTGGTCTGTTATACCCTGTCATGGACCATTATTGGCGAACTGTCCATATAGTCAGGATTGTACAAAAATAATCAATACTTAGGATTATTGTTAGCGGACCGGTACTAGTTGGATTATTATTTTCATTTTTTTCTAAAAATTATAGGGAGATTTCAACAAATAGGACTTAATCATACTAATTTCCCAAAATTAAGACTAGAGATTAGGGTAAGACTTAAGTAGAGGAGCTTTGACCAAATTGCCCTTCTTTTAAAAAACCCCTGCGCATCTAACGCAAATGGACGCCGCAACACCAAACCAGGCCGCCGCAACACCAAACCAGGCCGCGCCAGTCACCGCCGAACCGCGCCAGCCGCCGCCGCCACGCCGCACCACAACGCATTGCTCTCCGATGTCTTCTTCTTCTTCTTCTTTCTTTTCTGTCCGATTTCGATGGCGTCCACGAAGATTATAGGGGAAGAAGATGGTTTTGGCCTTAAATCAGCGTGATTTGGGGGCGATACAGCCGGCGGGGTGCGGACGGCCTTCAATCGCCGGTGGACGCTTCTGCAAAACTTTTGAAGAAATCAGATCCAAAATCAAACTTGCAAACACTAGACAATACATAGACATTAAGTAGTCATTAAACAGACCATAATTTCGAATAATAACTCAATACCAGGCAATACATAGACAGTAAATAAACAATAAGTAGACAATAAACTGCCCCAGCCCTACTCCCCTGTCCCCAGCCCTCCTCGCCTGCTCCCCTTCCCCGCCCTTGTTCTTCCCCCATGTCCTTCTCCGGCCAGTTCGCATTGCACAAAAATTCAAGAGAAGAAGAAATCGAGGAGGGGTGGGGGGAGAAAAAGAAGCAAAAGGAGAAGAAGAAAGAGAAGAAACTCACCTGGGTGGTCGCCGCCGCATCACAACCGCCGTCACCGCCGCCACATGGCCTTCTTCACTGCAACACAGTTGTAGCCACCATGCCGCCTCAGTTCTCCGGCCTAGTAAACGCGCCCCACTGCGTTCCTTTGTCGATGGAAGAGGAGAGATTTGCTAAAGGGCAAATTTGGAAAGTTAAAAATAGGTTTCCTAATCTAGAACTAAATAGGTAATATGAATGGAAAAAATAATAGCAGGTACTATTTTTTTAAAAGAGCTATGATTTGGTCCTATTAGAAGCAAATTTCTCAAAATTATAAGGAGTAACAATTACTTTTATTGGTACATATCTAAAATCTTGAATAATATATGTGGAAAAACTGGGTGTGATTATTTTATACTAGTATACACAAAAAAATGAAAAGTGAAGCGCTCGCTCTTCTTCAAAAAAATAGAAACATAGCCAAACTGATAAAATGACCAAACAGAGTCATTGAATGAGAAGAAATTCCAATTGCAGCACTTTAATATTCACATGTTATATTCGTACTGTCTAATTACAGAGAAAACCCCAACAAAAATAGCAAGCCCACCCAAGTAGCCCAACAAAAAAATGCTTATATTAAACTCATTGAACTAAACATCCAAACATCCAACATATCCTAGACGGTAGACACTTATAGTCAATAGGACATAAAATAGAGTGTCCAATAATGAACAAAACTAATCGCTAAACATGCGAGAGATACGAAGCTATCATCCAGATTACCCTGATTGTTTATACTCATTCTCACAACAAAAAGCACCCACCGGTCACAATTGTTAACCGAATAAAAAAGTACAACATATCAAAAAAATAAAACTTAAACAAAGAATAGAGCACAAGAGCGCAGGTGACCAAATTCAACTGTGTAACGTCAGCCTCCGATCCTTGGTTTCACGATCGCTCCAAAGTGTTGGTTCAGAAGGGGGGCAAGTCATCAATACTTTGTCTTCCTTGTCATCTCGTCACCCCTTTCTAGGCGTGGACTCGGGCCGGGTCGGGGCCGGGTCGGGCCGCCGGTTTGTATGACATGGGCCCGGGACCGGGCCGAGGGTTGGACGGGTCTGGTTCGGGCCGGGCCACCCGTCCGGGTCACAGGTCGGGTCCGGTTCGGGCCGGGCCGGTTAAAGTTTTTTTTTTAATTTATATTTTATAGTTTATAGTTTTATACGAGTATTAAAAACAAACTTCAAGTGCATTTATTTGAAATGAAATAGGAACTACATTTGAAAATTAAAACAAACTTTAAGAGACAAACATTTTGAAAATTGTAATCAATCGGAACTTCCCGCACCTCCCGATCCTTTGGCTTTGTCACATGACTTCATATGCTTGATTGCCATCTTGTATCCGCCTGAAACCCCCATGCTACATTTTTTCTCGCACCATTTGCAAGTTGCGTACCACATCCCGGTCTTCGGGTCCTTCTGTTTATCAAAATTATACCGTATAATGGCATCTTGATTTTCCATCTTAACTTCTTAAGTATAAACTATAAAAGTAGATATATAAATAATAAATATAATATATTGGAGAATAAGAGAATTAGAGAGTAGAGAGTTAAGAATAGGATTTAGGAAGAATTGGAGAAGAGATATGAAAAAATGTTTAAGATTAGGAGTATTTATAGGTTTTTTTACCCCCCACCCCCCACCACCACCACCCCCCACCACCCAACCCCCGGACCCCCCCCCCCCCCAAGACCCACCCATAACGGCTAGTAGCGATTTAAAAAAAAATTAAAAAAAATATGACCGTTGGACCCGGACCCGGGTCCGGGTTGCATTTTTCCGGAACCGTGCCCGCCCCGCCCATTCCCACCGGTTCGGGTCTAAACCCGGTCCCGGACCGCCCGACCGGGCCGGTCCCGGACCGCCTGACCGGGCCAATCCCGGGCCCGCACAGTACCGGGTCGGGCCGGGTCACGGGGCGGGTGGCCCGAACCGAATCCACCCCTACCCGTTTCCGTTCCAACCACTTTATGTCCCTTGCAACGCCATTCTTTCTACCGTCAAGGTTTGCATCTCACATTTTATGTTCCCCTCCATCTTTCCGCTGCTTTCTCGTTGAAGAAGCTAAACAAAAATCAAACGCCAACGAATTAGCACGGCTCTAAAGCCCTGACCGACAACCTAGTGCGGCTTCAAAATCCTTAGGCACGAAGACATTCACTTCCATTTTCCCTCTTTGTTTGTACTTTTTTACTAACATGTTTTTTAAAGAAAAAACCGTTTATATTAATATCATTACAATTCGGATCTTTACAACAAACTTAAAGAGACCAATACTGACATCAACTATCTGTAATCAACTAGCACTATCAACCTTACGGCTAGACTCAAAGACGATCACCCTGAAAGAGTAATATGAATCGCTAACAACCAAACAGGTGTGACACAACAATCAATGGCCATATAGATTCTTCTAACGACATAACATCTAGCAGAATTGTCAATCATTATTGTAGAGCTAAAAGTAAAGACATCAACAAAAAACAGAGCAACGTAAAACATAACGCAAAAATAAGACCATAAAAAATAAATAATTGATAAATCTTCCAAACCCAGACTCCTTGATCGCTCCAAGGCGACGGTTCAAGAGGGGGCGGACCGTCAATCTATCTTCTTCCTTGCTCAGCCTTTCACCTCTCCCCGTCTACTCGTCACTCGTGCCTCCTCTACTACCGCTACCGCCCTCCACCCATGTTGATCTGCCAAGAACCAACTCTTTGACCTCCTCCTCAATTGTTAGAACGGGACACATTGTTCTAAATCATCCATAGATGTCATGGTTATCCTTTCTTTACCCTGCACTCAATCAAAAGGCCAAAGAACAACTGATCCGCAGAAGCGCGGCATTGCATCGCTCTCGACACACGAGAGAAAAGCCTAGCTCTCGACGAGCGAGAGAAAAACCTAGCTCTCAACAAGCGAGCTATGGATGATTTGGGGCGGCATTAAACTGTTTTTGGGGTAGGTCTCAACAAAAACCGGTCCGCAAGGAAATTGATGTTGTGCTTTTGTTTGAACTTTGTGGCGGGTTAATTCTGAGTTTCGGTTACCACACCTGAAACAACAATAAGTTTGAAAGCGTTTATAATCCTAAAGTTTGTTGTTTGTGTTGACTATTGGAAAATCATAATAACCAATTATTATTGTCAAAATAGACATGCTCAATCGTTTGGCGTCTGCTGAAATTGTTGTTCCGAATTCATTTAAAATTAGAAAATGCCTAATTTTATATTATTTCTGAGCAACGGTTTCAGCAGACCTAAAATGCTAAACATGCCTATTTATATATTCCTTTTTACTTTTGTAACTTTTAAGCTAAAATAATAATCTACTGCCTAATTTTAGAATTTGGAGTGAGATGGAGTTATTGTTTCCATACTCAACCCTGTCCAACTTTTAGAGGAAATTGTTTAATTTTATGTAGTTAGCAATAACAATATATATCTCACACTTTCGTTTTCTCATATTTAATATTTGTACGGAGTATAAAATTTAAATTTCTAAAATAATGTACTATTAGTGTATATTTCAATGATAATTATAGTTAGGTACTTCCTCCGGTCCTAAATAATTTTCATAGTTTGACTTTACGGTTTTAAGAAAGTAGAATTTTTGCTTTTGTCTTTCTCATCATGCCCTTACAAAAAGTAGATTGTGTGTAGTGGGAGAGAGAAAGTGAGTGTCAAGTAGGTAATAAAGTAAGGGTATAAGAGTAATTTTATATCAAAAAGTTACCAAAAAAAGAAGTGTGAAGTTTATTTCGAACCT